CAATCTATTTACAAATGTGAGGCAAAAAATTATTTAGGATTGACACAAGTCTTTACTAAAATTACTTTCCTTTGTAAGCTATACACAGTAAATATATGTAACATATTTTGAATTCTGTATTGTTTGTACGTGATAATAGTTATACAAAGCAGATGCTTCTGTTCCGCTTCTTTTTTTCGTTATTAACTTTGTCGTATGCTCCTGTGTGACATGTTATGATAATGTGGTTTGATCCAAAAAGTCAATTGCATTTCTTTAAATTATTATGTAAAACAAGGTAAAAGAGATAATCTTGATGGATAAAATCCAACCACATTAACAGTGGTACTCCCCCATCCAAGTCAAAGATTAATTAAACCAAGACCAGCTTCATTTGCCTGAATTCTATTGCTATTTTGATGATGTCTGCCTGTCTTTACAGACCTACTACAACCTTCAATACAACATTGTTCCACTCCAGTAAATGAAGGAGACAATGTAACATTAAACTGTAAGGGAAATGGTAATCCATCACCTCGCACAGCCTGGATAAAGTCTGGAAAGGTTCCTAGTGACAGGCAGTGATTATGTTATGACAACAATTAACAGAAGTCAGGCTGGAACATACCAGTGTATGGCTTGGAATGGAACTACGAGAAATGAAACCTCTCACTGCACTGTTGATGTTCACTGTAAGTTAACTTTGTACTGTAAGACAATAGCTCAGTCTGTTTGTGGTGTTTACCCTCCTAGCCCCAGTTATTTGAAGGGTGAATAACACTATCCACAGGATAAAACTCTATCAGGTGGATAACACTATACATTTTTCTATCACTTATCCGCTGGACAGTGATTTGTCCGGTGGATTGCGTTATCGGCCCTTTATACAACTGGGCCCTGTAAAGTACATTCTGGTAATGAAAATCTGATGAACCTTTGTACACTTGGCAGTATTTGTGTTAATAATCATAGTTATTTTTGTTTCTGTCCAAAAGATCCACCAACATCAACCATGATTACAGCTGTTCCTCACATACACTATACAGTGCTACATGGTTGTAGATTGGTGCTGAGGTGTGGTGTGGATGCCAACCCTGATGCTCAGACATATAAATTCTACTTTAATGGCAACTTTATTGGTAGCAGTAGCTCTGGTGTGTTAAACATCAGTATGAAGGAAGATGGAGAGTATACTTGTGTTCCTGTCAACAAATTAGGCATAGGAAGCAATGGCAGTGTCAGTTTGAATGTAGTTGGTAAGTTTGATGAGGAGCAGATTGATAAGGAAATGAATGTTTTGATACACGAAAGGGTGCATCCCAAAAAAAAATGTTGAGAAACTACAATGAGTGATGTATCTATGGGTTCAAATAAAGAGGTAATCCATGATGTTTGTGTATTATACTTATCCAGTGAGTTTTCTCAACAATAAGGTTTTTCAGGT